GAATATTACTTTTCATGATAGGCAACATTCGAAAAGAAAAAAATGAGAGAAACATTGCTTTATAAACCTTAAGATTTAATAAGAAAATTAGATATTTTGTGTATGAAAGCATTGTAATATTTACTGATAATCTGCCAAATTTCGTTAACATTTACTAATTACTTTAAAAGTTATAGCATGAAAACTATAACAAGCACAAAATGGTTACAAAACCGGTTGAAAGAGAAGAGCAGGGTAATACTAGTTGCTCTGGAAACTATAAGCCAGTTAGTCTTATTTCTGTAGTGGAAAAAATCTAGTCTGATATAAGAAGCTTTTCATGACATATAAAACCAACATAGAAACATACAAATCTTCTTTACTAATGTGTTGAGAATGTTACTTGTTATCTGGACAACAGTGTGTGTGTGTGGACTTGGTATATTTAGAATTTCAAAAAGCTTTTGATAAGGTGCCACACAATTGATTAGATAAGAAAGTCACATCAGTGGAGGTTCGGTAATGACTAGTTAGATAGTAGGATGGTTGGTGAGAGAAAGTAAAAAGTTGTTATTAGCAGAATTCATTAAACTGGACCTTTATTACTAGTGGTGTTCCTCAGAGGTCAGTGCTTTATTAATATTAGTGATAAAGATACATATAATTAGTATTTTACTGATCTTGGACAAATTAGACAACTAGTTTCAAATGATCTTAAATTATAGTAACTGCAGAAGGCAAGGCATTTTGGTGCTCAAAAATTGGGTCATAAGTTTAATATTGTTGGGAGCCCATTCAAAAGTATGACTGAAGGAAAAGACCTTGACATAACAATAGCAGAAGTTTTCTGTTGCTGGTAATAAATCTAACAGAATTCTAGAATTTTTCTTACAATTACAAGTCAAAAGAGGTAATTACCTCTTTATTCAAATCATTACTTAGCCATTACTTATAATATGTTAGTTTTCTTATCCAAGAAAGGATATACACTTATTGAAGGTTCAGAAGAAGTCTATACGGATGATTCCTTCTGATTTCTTTGTGCTATATTCTGAAAACAATGAGATGAAAGGGTACAAATTAAGGTTTGGAAAAGACAGGTTAGACTCTAGTTAATCACATCTAAATGACATTGGTGAATTGCACCAATGTCCATTTCTGTGAAGCTATACATAGCAATCAATGTATCTTCACAAAATTTGGCAAGCTTTTAGTAAATATGAAAAGCCTGTTGTACATAAAAAAAAATTGGGCCTTTTTAAAAAAGTATTTTTACTATACATTTGTCTCTAAATTTAAAACATTAGTCTGACTAATTTTGAGCACAAGGTGATTTTTTTGGTTAGGAAAGAAAATAATATGAACTACAAGAGGGTATCTGCAGTTGCCGTCCAAAATTTAGCAGTGAAAGACTAGAGGAAAGGCACCTAGTCATCACCACCCACCACCAACTCTTGAGCTACTCTTTTACCAATGAATAGTGGAATTGACCATCACATTATAATGCCCCCATGGCTGGAAAGGCAAGCATGTTTGGTAGGACAGGGATTCGAACCCATGATCTGCAGATTGCGAGTCGAGCAGCCTAACCACCTGGCCATGCCGGGCCAGGAATAAAAATACTGTTTAATCTCAGTTTTTATATTTCATTTGTACAACCTCTAGAACCTCCTAAATGAATTTCAAACTTTTTCAGTAAAACGTTATACTTTATCTGCTATTTATTTCTACCCTAATATTAACTGTAGTAAAATCATAAGGTATAATGAAAATCTGAAAATTAAAAAATATAAATTACCCTTTTCTAGCATTCAGAATGACTGCATATTGTAAGAGACAATTATAGAATGTTTATTCTTACAGCTAAAGCTTATAATTTTTAAAATTATGTTCATTTAATTTTATTGCTTTAAAGACTGTCTTGGAGTACACCAAAAGCCATTTATCACAGCAGGAGATCTTTATGCAAATAAAGGATCAAGTTACCAACATGCATGATAAAATTACAACCACATTGTCTCATGTGCTTGTGCTATCATAAGTAATTTTTTAAGTTTTATTATCGAACCTAAAAATGATTCTAACTTTTACATTTTATTTAGCTTTATAAAAATACAACACAAAAAAAAAGACATTTAATACTCATATCTGTAATCTTGTTTTTTCTGCCTTCAGAATTCTGAAGAACAGTAAGCTTAACAATGATGGTGCACCATAAAGAGACTATTTTTAATTTCAAATATGCAACTTAGAACACAAATTGTTATCACTCACAATAAACAGTATGTCGTGAAACCACTATATTTGAACTGGCTTTCTAACTAAGCTATAAATGGGTTAAAAAATTTCACTAGCTGATCCAGCCAACTAATATATTTGAAGTTAAATATTTCAAACTTGTCAGATGAACAAGTTATCCTCATAGGATTTCAATAAGTCTTCTTTTTCTATTGGTTATAAATAGTCCAACAGCAAATGTCAGACAGAATTATTGTCAGTTGTTGAAAGACAAGATGTGATAGGACGGATGTGGCATGTGGATTTGACTTGTTTACATCTCAAGAAAGCAAAAAGTTGGAAAGCAATGTTTATATTATCAATATCTATAGTACAAATGTAATAGACTTAAAATAAGATCCAAAACTCGAGTGCTTTCGATTAGTTGACTATTCTTCTTCAGGAGAACAAAGAATAATAGTCAACTATTCGAAAGTGCTTGAGTTTTGGGGTCTTATTTTAAGTCTATTACATTTTATATGTGATCCTTTGTTCTAACTCTTTTATCCAAATTAACATAGTATAAATGTGAAATTTCTTCCAAACTACGAATATCATATAGGAGTAGATAGAAAATCTTAGGTGGGTAATTCAAAGTGAAGAAGTGTCATGTAAAATATAGAAGTGAAGAGTGAGAGTTAATTTAAATATTTTTTTCTGAAACTAAGAAATCAAAATTTATATAATATTAAAATCTGAATAATAAACTATGCTTTGATGCCAAATTTATTGACATACACTTACAATAAAGGTGTTTAATTAAATTTTCAATGTAACTGTATAAAAAGGTCATGACATGTGTACTTTGATCCTTCAGTACACAAAAAATTAAAAGTTATGGCATGAGTTGCTGTTGGAAGTAGTGTAGGCCAGAACCTTACAAGTTTAGCCCTTTTACATTAGGCAGGTCAAAGTGCATGTCACAACCTTTTACAGAGTTACATTCAAAATTTAATTAAATTACTTTATTAGTAGTCTGTATGAATACACTTAGCATCAAATTGTAGCTAATAAATCGAGTTTTAATATTACATAAATTTCAAGTTCTTAATTTTATTAGGAAATATTTTACAAATTTCTCAAACTTCCCTAGTATGAAAATTGTGACATTTGCTATCAAGGTCTTCCCTCTTCTCTAATTTATTTATCACCTCTCCAAGATGTATGGAATTCAGCATAACTTCCTCATTATAATATTGTCATCACTCAGGCAAAGTATAATATTTATAGCCTTCAATCTTATTTGGTTACAGAGCCATAAACTAGAAAATCAGACCCCTCTTGCCACACCTACCTATCACATTCTCTGTTTCACAAGTTGCCAATAATTCTCTCTGACTTTTAATACTATGTAATTTATACCCAATAAAAAACCAAAGTTTTCATCTATCAAATGATGTATTATATGACTTTATTCTCTGTACAAAAAATTGTCTATTTGACTTCCAATTCAAAGTTTATTCCCACAGGAAACACATTGAGGATCTTAGCTGAATTTTTAACTGAAATTTTATTGATAATATAAAAAAATGTTCATAAAGTATGCTCGTGAGTTATGTAATTTGATAGGGTAGCATGAACTACACATTTGCTTAGTGAGTTTCAACTTGTGTGGCAGGATTATTAGTTAGACACAGCTCAAAGGGCAATAAAACAATAAAATGTAAGTAGAAACAGATGTATACTGTTACAAGCTTTAAGCTATTTAGGATAAACAATTATGGTTTTCTATTACAATTTGTAGTTATTCCAGAAAGTAATATGGGTAAGTTAAAATTATTTCCTAACTTTCTTATGGTGGTTATGGAGTCAGTCAAATGAACCGACCCTGTATAGAGTTATAGTACAAAAAAACCATAAAATATAAAGTTTTTCTGAAAAAAACAACAACAACCAAAAACATCTGATATTTATTTAAGCGGTTTTAGGGCTTATGCAAATGAAATATGAAAACTTTCAGATGAAGATAAGTATTTTTAATCTTAACATGAAAATCACTTTGCACTCAAAGCAGTCAACACTCTGATACCATATAATTACAAACAATTATTCTCCTCAAGAAGAATAGTCATCTAATCGAAAGCGTTCGAGTTTTGGGTCTTATTTTAAGTTTATTACACTTTATATGTGATCCTTTGTGCTTACTCTTTTATCAAGATTACAAACAAAGTATTAGTAAACATACTTATTTAAAAATTCTGATATTTTGTTTACTGAGAGTTTGCCAAATTTTGTGAAGATACATTTAGTACTTTCAGAATCATAGTATATATATGTACCACCATGGTTACAATGTTGTGTAACATACACAAGCCCATTGTGATAGGGTTAAGAGGCAGAAAGAGATAATTTCCTGAAAAATAATGGATGGATTTAAATTAATACTATTTCTTATGGGTGGGTGTACAGGGACAGTATTGAAAAACTAAATGGTCTCTCATTGTTAGCAGAGATATAGTCAAGACTAGGCAAGCAAAACCAAGACCGAGCGAGTTGAGACCAAGATCAAGACCTTTGAGATCAATATTTTTTTTTAAGCAACAAACCTTATAACCTAAGTAACATTTCTGAATAAAAACAAGAGCTAAAACAACAATAATAAGTTTACTTTTTTGAATTTTTGTTTGCATAAAAAATATACTGATCTTGATAGACTTGGTGGTTTTGTCCACTGGTCTTGACTGTGTCTCTGGTTGTTAGTAATGTTAACTCTTCTGCTGCTGCTTCACTGGATTACACCAAACTCATGACTCCAAAGTAACCACCAGTTTCCATACTATAACTTTTAACATATTTTTTATATCATCACAAAATTTTTCAAGTTTTTATCTAACATTATGAGTCTTTTTTTAGACAAAAAAATCAGTATTCTTAATTATTTTAATTAAAAATTAATATACTGAGCCTGATTGTTGACTGCTCCAAGTGCAAAGTGATTTTCATGTTAATATTAAAAATATTTTTCTTCGTCTGAATATTTTCAAATTTCGTTTGAGTAATCTCTAAAACTTCCTAAATAAATATAATTTTTTTCCAAACAGCTTTATCATTTATTTGTTATTCTCTCTACCCAAACTCTATATAGAGTTAGTCGATCTGAACAACCTTGTAATCACCATAAAACTTTTACAGCTGAAAAATGCAAAATACAGTGAGTAGTACTATTCTATTCTTTTTAATATTGACTGCAAAGTTCCAAAGTACTTCCAAAGAGAGTTTCTGCTTCTAACCTTTTTTCCTATGTTTATTTTACTGTTAGCAGCTGAAAAACAAACTGCCAAACATAAAGCAGTGAATCACCCCTCCTGCCATTAGACTGTTTAAATAACACCGTAATACAGCCCCATCGATAGCAAATGAGTTTATGCCGCACAATTATCAGAACTTTCCTATAGAGTTTATCATAATTCCCGATCTGAGAATACAGTTGGAGATTATTTATTACTTTCTTTACAGTATGGTACTTGCAAAAAGAATTGCCTGAAGTAATAAAAGTGTGAGAAAATGTTTATGATATGGCTCTGTACAAAGTCCAGGCTGATCCAATAAATTTGGTAGGTATTTGGATGTTAGTTATCTTCCTGGAACAGTCTTTCTAGTACTTACAATGTTACAAAGTTGACTTGTACTTTTCCATCATGGTTGCTAAGCCTCACCATAAGCCTTGTTTATTCTCTAATTTGGGGAAGACAAATTAATTTTTGCAGATTTCAAGGATGCATTTTAAAAAACCAAAACATGATCAAATGATTATACTGGTACACATAAATCCACTGTAATTTATCTGGCTTTCTAACTAAGCTATATGCAGGTTAAAAAAAATCTCATTTTTGTTCTGAGCAATGATTTGGTCAACAGACTTCAAAGTTCCCAGCCAAATTACATGTTTCTCCTACAAGCCAATTAGAAATGACTGTCAGGTTTAGATAGTTTGGAATGTGCTCTTTTTATTAGTTATAAACATTCACCAAAGAAAAGTAGGTGCAAGTAGAAAAGAGATTTCAAGAGAATGGAGTAGTGGGTGGGACCACCCTGGTAGGTTTACAAAATATATTGATATCTCAGCAAATCGAAAAGGTGAGGAGTTCTTATTTTACATTCTAGTTTTTAAATGTTTGAAATTTGGGTCTCTAATCTATTAACTACTATAAACATTGTATGGTATGTGTCATAAAATATAAACTGAGCAATAAGACAAGATATACATGCCATATTTCATACAAAAAAGTGTATTTAGCTTTCTTTTTTTCTTTAAAACTAAGAAATTACAGCATATGTAATATTAAAATCTGAATTACAAACTATGTTGTGATGCCAATTTTATTGGCATAAAAATATAACAGTTATTTCAATAAATTTTGAATATAACTCTAAAATGTCATAACATGCCCTTTGACCTGTCTGTAGCAAGAACATTAATGGACTCAAACTTTGATCTCTAATGGGAATTTAAAAATTGTCATTAATATAATGTAGTTGCTTATCCTTTTGAGATTTTTATGGAAAGACATTTTTATTAAAATTATTTACTATTAAACAAGGTTCTGATTTATTTTTGTAAACTCATCACAGCTTATAAGTAAAAACAAACTCGGAAAACGTTTTCTAACTGGTTTTATTATACATTAGAAAACATTTATCTACAAAGAAAATTAAAAACTTAAATGAAAAAAATATTTATAATAATAATTTATTTGTATGCCAACTGAACATACATAAACCACAATGTAAGCCAATTAGATAAAGACATCAATTAGCAATCGATCCTGTAAGAGAGTCGCAATATAAATACTCAGTCTCATTAGGACATAGTATCAAAATTACTAGTTATTACATTTGAACCAATATGTATAAGGCTCACAGAATCATGAAAATGCAATGACAATTTTTGACTGTATTTAAAAGTACATAATCTAACCCACATTTAGTCCTGACTGTTACATAAGAAATGGTTACAAATAAAATACAAGAAACCGGATTTATTATTATCAACTGCAATTTTTAAGTAAATTTGTTGTAAGATAAAGATAAAACTTGTCTCACCTGTACAATCATTCTCAAGGACAGCCTTAGATTGTTGACATTTATGACCTGCTGGTACTAGTCTAACATTGAGGCTAAACAAAATTAAGAAAACCTTCAAATATGACTGAAATAAATACCTATCATTAGATTTTATTAAAAACAAAATTTAAGTTATTCAGAGGTAGTCTTATGCATTTATAAAAATAAACCTAGATTCATTATCAGTTTTCTTCATGGAGCATAACAGATCATGTTAGTGACATAATTCATCTGAACACTTTCTGCTAAACAATAATGTGCCAGAAGCCATTTATCTCTGATAAAAATAATTAAATTCCAGGGTCAAGAAATAAGTTCTTAAGAAACACTTGTCATTGTTTAGTAGGATTATACAGGGGTTTGCTTATGCTGGTGCTATTCTTATTAATGGAATCACTGATAGAACATCAGTATACTCTCCTGGACAGACAGCTAGTGTTTTTTGTTTTCATTCCAACTTCTACAACAGCTATAATTATATCCATACTTCACGTGTTGCTAAACTGTGTAGATCTCAGAAGCAAACAACTGGAGGGTGTCTGTGTGTGTCTACATATATAGTTTTGAAAGTGATCAATTCCATTGTTCTTTATACTATTATTTCCATTAAATCTAATTTGTCTTAATTTATATTTTTTTTACAATTAAATTTTACACTTACACAAGACTATTTTGCACTGTTAGTACACAGACTTAAGAGAATGGCAATACTTGTTAAAAGACAAGGAGAATGGAATGAGATGTATTCAGAAGCCTTGTAAGAAATTGTAATGGTTAAAATCAATATTCTAATAATTTTTTTTTCCAATAATGTCCACTACAGGTGCCAAAATCAACAGAATTTGTAACAGTAAACTTTATGACAAATTTGGGGAAATAGTTTTTTTCGATGTAAATTTTAAATTTCTTACTAGAAAGATCTTAATTGTCTTCAACAACTCTTCTAAAAAATTTCATAGAGATACAGAAAGTCCCAAGTTAAATTTTAACCTTTTATTCTAATAATAAGGGAAAAAAACTCATACTTTACATATCAACTTGTTCTGTTTGTGGTATTTTGTGTTTGAATGCACACAG